ATTATTTTTGTTATTTTCTTGCCTGGTCCATTATACTCCTGCTATGAGTGAAACCATCCGGTATTTTTCTTTCTCTTTCTGGCTTATCTCACTAAGCGTGAGGAGCTTGGATCTTGATGATACACATTTTCCCCTCCTGTAACATTGTGTTTATATTTCAAGGAAGAGTGTAGTGTGCAGTGTGGAAAGAAGGAGGGGAACGAGGGAATTGGGGCATTTTTGCATCAATGCTGTTTTCCTCTGCTAAAAGACCTTGAAATTTTTATCATAGGGGAAAAAAGTCTTAGCAGCTTTTTAACATTTTAAAACTGGTTAGCATCATTTTCCAGGATGCTTCATACTCCCTCCAAAATGTCCCTTTCTTTTGGTATTGGTAGATGGATTATTGCCTTTTCAGCACTTAATTTGCTTTAGGTGTTTGGTTTCAGTTCCCCTCAGTCTACTCATTGATGCCTAAGAGACTTGGTGAATTACTAAAGTAATTTCATGCTTGATGCCTGAGGTCAGCATTTCAAAGTCCATGGCAGTGTCTGAATTCAGGTCCAATACTGGCTTTCTGGCCAGAGCATTTCAACACCCCAGTTTCACTGCTGTCATTTGTCAGCATTTCTTACATCATCTTGCCTACACCTATTCTCTTGACACATGCTACTCTCAGCTAGAGAGTAATAGAAACAATTCTTTTTTTGGTCATTTCCATCAATTTTCGTGCATAAATAAGGGAAGCCAGTCATCCCAAATGTAGGGAAGTACTGAATATTCATCATTCATGGAGATTGACCAGTGGTGGACATTTCTTTCATAACCCCCGAACCCATTTCCCCCACCCAGCCCTTTGCCTCTGGCAACCACCAGTCTAGTCTCAGTGTTGGTGAAGTTGGTTTGTTTAATTAGAAGAGAGATCACACAGTAATTGTTTTTCTTACGCTTATTTAAAACAATGCTCTTGTGGTTCATCCACATGGTCGCAAGTGACAAAATTTTATTCTTTTATGTGACTAGTATATGTGTGTGTGGTGGGTCTCTACCCATTCATCCATCAGTGGATGGATGTTTCCATCTCCTGGCCATTCTGAATGATACTCCAGTAAACATAGGGGTGCACATATATTTTCAAATTAGCGTGTCATTTCCTGGTTACACATGCCCACAGGTAGAACTGCTGATCATATAATAGGTCAGTTTTGAAGCTTTTGAGCCACCTCCATGCTGTCTTTTGTCAAGGCCATACCAGTGTACATTCCTGTCAACAGTACACAGGGGCCCTTTCTCTACATCCTTGCCAACACTTGACAGTTCTTATCTTTTTGATAATAGCTATTTTAACAGATGTGAGCTATTTTAACAGCACATAGGGGGTTTGATTTGCATTTCCCTGAGGATTAGTGAATATTGGGCATTTTTGCATATACTTGTGGATGATCTTTATGTCTTCCCTGGGAAAATGTCTAGTCAGATCTTTTGCCCATTTTTTTAATTGGATTGTTTGTATGAATATATTTAAATGACTCATTTAATTAAAATGTTTAATACTGCCCTAGGTAAAAAGAGGTCATACTTAATACAAACACACTCAGGAAAATATGTACTCTTGTAAATTCTCTGTAGGTAAGTAAATTAGTGCAACCATTCTGTGGGGGAATTGGACAGTGCCTATTAAAATGATAAACCTTTGCATATATCCTGTTCCCATCTTAATATCAAACCTTAGAAAAATACATGCAATGAGCCCAAGGAGGCATACATAAAAATATTTATTGGGCCATTAGTTCAAGGCCAACAAGTACAGCATTTTCTGACTTTCCAATAATGGAAGGACTTACTAATTTCAGGCATATTAATTTGACTTACATGCCATGCAGATGTTAAAAAATTACGCACATAAACTATGTATTTCTATACAGCTGTATCTCCGCAGGATATTTTATGAAGGGAAAAGCAAACAAGATGCAGAATAATAACTACAGGAAGGTACTATTAAAAAATGTAAAACAAAACCATATGCTTTTAGGGATCAACATATGGGCCATGGATGTAAACATTTGGTGAAAGGCCTACAACATACATTGTCAACAGGATTGATATTGCTCCCCAGAGGAAAAAATTAGACATTGTGGATGTTAAATATCCCTGTAAAATTTAACCCTGTTTGACAAAATCTCTTTGCTTAGTATTTGATTTCTCTCATTAGGCAGAATTTAAATTTAATCAAAATGTTGACCTTGAGCATCGCCTGAAGAGAAAGTCAAGAGACACTGGTCTAGAAGGCAGTATTGGGGCTCTGTAGTCACACTGTCTGGGTTCCAACATTTACTAACAGCTGTGGGGGTGGGGGAAGGTAGTCCCCACTTTGTACTTTCAGTTCCTTACCTGTAAAATGAGTATAATAATAATAAAGCCAACGCTGCAATCATAAGAAAATTGAGAAATGCAATGCAAAGTATACAGGTAGGGAGGTAAAAGAAAATGACAGTGCTATGCCCCAAATTCCATACTACTTGAGTAGGAACTTACAGCACCCAGAGGAGACTTGAAGCATGGGGTGGGGGGAGAAAGGGGGTTATTGAAAGAAGGTCACCAGGCTGGGAGTTCATCAATGAGCCTGAGTTATTCTGGCAAAGGAGAAGAAAGAACATGTGTGAATGTCAAGTAGATGTTGATTGGGGGCAGTGCTGTGAGACTGTAAGCAGTGCTGTGCTAAAACTGGCTCTGCCAGCCCACCAAACCCAATTGGTAAATTTTCAGGCAGTCAGTGAGCTGATAGACTTCATGCCTGCAACTTGAAATCAGCAGGGGTGGAGCATTCATACCACAGAAGTTGGCAAACCCAGGCCCTCACTCCTAAGAACCCATTGTTAAATATTCATCAGCACGCTTCTGGTTGAAGAGAAGAAGCATGGATTAGCTTCCAAGGCTAGAGAAGATATTATAGGGTCTTGTGTCTTTATTTAGGAATTGAACAAAAACCTTGTAGAAGCCTGTGTAGCTTTTGAGTCTTAAACCTGGGTTCAGACCCTAACTTAAGACAATTTTGTTGAGCAAGCTCGTAAATCTCAAGCAGGTTAATGAATCCTATTATATGTTGGAATTGGAATAGCCGTTGATAGGTGGGCGCTCCCAAACCCACTTGGAAAGACTTAGTTATAAACTGGGGGGGTTAGGCAATGGGTGGGGGCAGCTTACCCTGCTGGAAGGAGACAGTGTTTCAGGTTGCATACTTCTCAGGCTCCTCTGGGAAATGGTGGGTCTCCTGATTAATGCATGCCAGGTCTTCACTTGTAATGCATGCCAGGTCTTCACAAGTGATTTGCGCAGTCAGATTTCAGTCCAAAGCTGACTTACCCTTGTCTCCAAGGCTGTATTGACATCTTCTCTCCTGTTGTAATGTTTTCCCAGGTTCAGAGAAGGTAAAAAAATGTAAATCCAGCATCTCCTTAGACAAGGCTTAATAAGCAGTTCACTCAATCAGCTTAGCTTGGTGTTGTCTGGCACATCAGCTTGCATTCTTTCAGGGTGAATTCAGGGATCCTGTAAAGATAAACCCACATTCAAGTGTGAAAGGCCTGATAATCCTTTTTGAAGGCAAAAACAACAATTGAAAAATTTTTTTACTTTTG